GGGACCTGAACCTGTTCAGCCTCCACAAGAGAAGGCTGAGGGGGGATCTAGTGGCCATTTACAAACTAGTCAGAGGGGACCAGCAGGCATTGGGGGAGTCCCTGTTCCCCCGAGTGCTACCAGGAGTGACAAGAAATAATGGTCACAAGCTGGCAGAGGGTAGATTCAGGCTAGACATCAGGAGGCGCTACTTCACAGTCAGGGCAGCTAGGTGTGGAACCAACTTCCAAGAAACGTGGTGCTGGCTTGTACCCTGGGGGTCTTTAAGAGGCTAGATGAACACTTTGCCAGGGACATTTGACCCCAGTACTCTTTCCTGGCATGGCAGGGGATCAGACTTGATGATCTGTTCAGGTCCCTTCCAACCCTGCCAACTATGAAACTATGAGAAAAGAGCCAGACAATTGATCATTGAGGTCTCCCATGATAATGAACAAATTATGAAAATTTTGAATAAGGTTGAAAAACTAGGGAGACACGTGGTGGAAGCCACTCCTGGGGTGGTCTCCCACAGAACCAGGTGTGTTAAATTTGATGCTACACCCCGTAATAATATCAATTGTATGTGAAGTTATAACGTTAATCTGCATGATTGGGATGTGGTGTGCCTGGCATAGACTCTGTAAGAGAATGAAAGCATTAGTGAAAGAGGAATGAACAGATATGACACACCCTGACTTCCCTGGAATTGATGCAGCATATAGACTTGGATTGCTAAACAAATGAACCATATGGATGCAACATAAGGAGAGCTGTGGGTCTTGAGGACAGTACTGTCCTCGGTCACCCTCCACCAGGTGTTGCCCACCTGGGCATTGAGCTAAAAGGAAGCTTGCAGCCCAAGATACCACCCCCTGATCCTTATATTGATGTGATAGGATCTGTACACAATGCCCAGAACCCATCAAGGAAGGGATGTTGGATGTGGTCCATAACATGAGATCCCTCCTGAGCATGTGCACACTGATTAGAAGTTGGAAGGTTCTAGAATAGCTGAACTTTCCACCTTGATGATGTCAGTGACCCACTTACATCTGGGGAGCACATGCAGTAGCTCATGTGGTCATGAAGTGCCACGTGCTACACCTGAGTGCCGAGAGCACAATAGCAGGACATTGTGTGCACGTGAGTATGATTGGTGAGACTGACTGACACGATGTGATTTTGGTAAGCATTTCAGGAATCCTGAGGAGTGATTCGTTATGCAAATGGAATACGGATGCTTCAGAGTAGAGGTTTGAATGGTGTGAGAGTCTACGTGGATGGTGATCATACCTGTGTGTCTGAGGTGTATGAGCAGTGACTGTAGCAGTGAGAAAGAGGGGTGACCTATTGGACTGGGTATAACTGGATACTTACCAATAGAAGTGTTATTGGGACAGGACCTCCATTATCCATTAGACTGGTAATTATCATCCTTCCCTCACTCTCGGTCTGAGACCCTCCGAGGGAAAAAACTGAGGGCCTGACTAGCACTCCAGCTCAGTGAGCCTGTGAAGGCCCCGATGCTGCCCTTCGCTGCCCCCTGGCAGGCCTGGTTATGGTGTATGGCAATTAACCAATGTATATAGTTAATGCTTGATGTTACGTATGTTTCCTACTGTTAATCTTGTTTTCTTATGATTTTGAGTTTATAACATACTTTTGAACTTTACTGGAGCCTTTAGTATATTTATAGGGAATATGAGGGTGGGCTGTAGCTCTATGTATATCCCTGACCCCAAAATCCACACCTAACAGAGATAACATACCAAAGGCCCTGGCTGTCCGAGAAGGCCTAACAACCCTCCGCCCCTTAGATTTCTCATAGGTGGTCAGTGTCCAGGACACCCAGCAGCGTCTGCCTTTCAGGAGAGCAAGATGACGATAGAGAGGACGTCTAGAGACAAGGGGAGGAATCAACCCCAGGGCTTAAAGGAAAGCCTGTTCCCAGATTTGGGGAAAAGAGCCAGCAAAGAGATGGAGACCACTCAAAGAGATGGTGACCACTCTGTTGGTAAATCCAGTCCTGAGGGGTGGAGATAACCTCTCCAGGATCCTAGAAGACAGACACGGATGAGATTACATGCCAAGGAGGGGTAAATCCATCCCAACCCTGGAGGTAAGAGCGGGGTTGGAATTAAGAGGCAGCTGTCTTGGGACTCGTGCAGGGAAGAATGGGGCAAGCAGCCAGCCTAGAAGAGGACCCCTTGACAAAGGAGTCCATAAGACTAGGACCGGACCCTTAGTCCAGCAGGCAAGCAACAAGAAGCTAGGAACATCTGATGCGGTTAAGGCAGGGAATGGGGATGATGGAGCCCTGCAAAGATAAGCAGACCTCCTGAGCCTTTAATCGATCCTTTTGTCTCCCCAAAAGTGTTTGGTATCTCTCTCTCTCATTAACACCAAGACATGGCGGGTGATTTTTTGGAAGGACAGAATACTACAATTCCAGCAGGGAAACAGCTCTATTCCAGGAGGTAAGTCACCAACTGCTTACAGTAGCGTTGGTAAGAGGTTAGACAATGGATTTGTCTAGGCTAGTCTGGATAGAGATGATCCTGCTTCAGGCAGAGTGGCGGAATACAATCACCGCTTAAGGTGCCTTCCAGCCCTACTTCTCTATGATTCTATAATGTATAGCTCATCCAGTAAATTTTGTTGCAAACAACATCAAATGTTTTTGAAAACTCCCAGTTAACGTGTAGAGTGACAAGGCCTCTTGCTATTTTTGCTGCTGGATATTTTCATTTCTTGACAGGTCATTCTATTACACATTCTACTTTGTATTAAGTCCTCTGATAAAAATGAAATTATATTTTCTATCAAGAAACAAGCAGGTAACAGCATATGCTGGCAGTGAGAGAGAACCTAGACTTAGGTTTTTGGAAAAGGATTTCCAAAAAATAGGAAGATGGAAGTCTGCTTCCTGCAGCATGGAAGCAGTAAACGCCCTTACACTCAGCACGTTTCCTCCCAAGATCAAGGTGAAAGAACCAAAGAGTTGTGAAACTCAGCCTGTAACTCTATCAGTTCTAGAATCAATTCCACCTATGAGGCAGGTTAACAAGAACCTTCTCAGGTCAGGAAGAGAAATTGCTCAAACACCATCCCTCTCCAAACAAGAGCATGGAAAGAAGCCAATAAGATTCTCTTTTCATAGAGAATAAAAGCTGCAGGTCTCATCTTTCAACCTGGAAAAATAGTTAAGCTCTTCATAATGGGGCTTTAAGCAATTTTGAAAACACATTCCTATCTTTTGGAATCAGGCAGGAATTTATGAATACAGCATGATTTCTATACAGCATGCTGCTGCACACATTGCCTTAGGCCAGAGATGACTAAGATCTCAAACCAGAACGCTAGCATGTAGGAGCACCAATGATGGTGATTTGAGTGAGCTTTAGCTAAGCCGAATTTCTAGGAGCTGTCAACTGTTGAAGAATAAGTAAGGTTCTGAAGTGCTGATATACCCTACATTCCTTTTAGTCTTAAAACCACCCTCACTATTAGTGAGAGGGAAGTAGGTGAAACTAAAGTGAAGTAATATCAGTGAGTGTTTTCTCAGGTAACAAGTCTCCCATTCGATGGCAAGCAAATTTAGTACATAAAAAGGGTGTATAACATTCTTTACAAATGTCTGAACTTATAATTTTGACACAAGCAGTTTCAATTTATTAGGTCATTTCCGGTGCCTCACTTTTGCTTATTTCAGTGACATGAACTTCCATCCTTATCCCTCCTCTACACTGCTTTAGTATTTGATCGAGGTCATCTTGATCCTTTGTTATGAAACACAGAAAAAGCAGACTTCCTGAAAGTTAATGTAAAATATAAACTATAGACCAACTTGAAAAACAAGAAGAGACATACATATATTATTGTAAAAAATACTTTAAAAGCCAAAACATATGCAAGTGAAAAATGGAGCCCTCCTTTCTTTCTTGATGAAAGACCTGGTACTACCACTCAGTTTTGATTTGCAAAATAAATGGGTTGATAAGAAGTAAAAACCATTGCAATAATTTAAAGAGGAGCTTAACAAGGCTACTGAGAAATGTGAGAAAAAACATAAGTATATTAGAACCAGACTTAAGCATTAGGAAGAAGAGGGACCAATTGACAAAAGAAAGTGAAAGACTAAAATTTAAAAAAAACGTTATTGAATATAGACTTTAATACAAAAATACAACCATCTCAGTCTAAAACAGACCCCTGAAGTTTTCTTTATTTCAACTCTCTGACAATTTGGCAAGTGCTTGCTTTCTTTGTTCTGATGTCATATGTTCACAGGCTTCCAATATATTTGCCACAATTAAAGTCTGTTGAACTGTTTTTGCCTTTACCCATATTCTTCCATTCATTCCAAGCACTATTTCAAAAGGGTAAAGTTGTCCCAATTCCTGGATGATTTCACAATTAGGAGCTAAAAGTCTGCAAGCAAGGTAAAAAAAGGACATTAGAAGAAAACCCCCCCCAGCAATATATAGAATGAATATACCCTAGTATTAAGTCAATACCATACCCACTAATAATTGCAACACTATTTTAAAGGACCTCTGTACCAACTGTAAGGTTTAATACTGGGTTGAGCTGAACCAAAACTAGAGATTTAACTTTTATTCTGTATGAAAGTTTTACTTCATCTGTTAATTTAGGAATGAAAATTTAAAATAGGTATATTATAAACCAGGCAAGTCAGAGTTAAAACATTAAGAGTAAATGCAAGAACAGTAAATAATGAAATTGTGTTTAATAATGTTACATAGAGTGAAAAACAGCTTTTATAAAAGTTCATTCAAGTGTCATAGGTTAAAAACTGACAAAATACAGTTTTTCTGTCATCCTTGGAACACTTACTTTCTTATTAGCCCTAAGGAAACTTTGAATAGTAGGCCTTCATGTCCAATTATACCCATTCCATTTGCTCTTCCACTGCTATCTATGCAGACCATTTCTGGTTCCATATCTTTATTTGCTACAATAAATTGACCATATATAAGATCTCCCACCTAAAATAAGTGAAAGATAATAGAGAAACTGTTATCACATTTGTGTTAATGTCTTTGCGAGACAGAAAAATCCAGTAATTATGAAAGAATAAAAGAAAACTACGTAACTAATTTATTCATCAACATTTATCCCTTCATTCAGTGCAGCTATCTCCAAAGAATCCTATAATTGTAATGCGCCTAGTAATTCTATATAAATTAATTACAGACTAAGATCCAAATAATTAAAAACCAGGCATTGGAATCTGAAAAATACAAAGTAAAAGAAGTCCAGTAACTTTTTCCTTTAAGGTACCACACACCTCAAGTTTAATACACTGTGGCTACTTGCAGGCATAGGAAAAAACAAAACAAAATGGCACTTTACTTTAAATTCAGTGTACCCCACAGAGCCCAGTGGATGCCCAGAAGAAGCATTGTGTTAGCTGGATCTGGCTCACCCTATGTCTGTATTGATAGGGCACTTTAAGTGGGGCTTTTTCGGTGCTTTTATCCAACAGCTGATTAAATCAGCTATTAAAATGAAAGCGCCAAAAGTTCCGCTTAAGTATCTGATCTATAGAGACGCTGCAGAGGAAGGTCAAAGTAACATGCTGCTGCTTCTGGTAAAGTACCTTTCCCGCACCCCCCCGCTGCAAGCACCCTGTATTTTTTTTTAAAGTCTTGAAATCTTCCAAGCTAAAAGTTAAGAGGCAAGGAAAAAGTAGGATAACTGACTTTTCAGAATGAGACAATTTACTTTTGCATTTCGCTCATTATAGACAGTGAAAATAGTCTGGTCTTTCATTTGGCTTCTACCACCTGTTGTATTTACTTAACAGATAGGTCAGGTATGTAAACAAAATGTAGCATATACAATTCCCCCACCAAACCTCTTAAAAAAAACAAACCCTATTACTCCTGAAAAGTTAAAAAGGAAATTTTTCTACTGCCTGACTTTGTAAGAGGCTGTTTTTTAATACGTAAATATTAGGCCTGAACTGATGTCAGACTCAATCTAATGAACAGGCCTGAGATATCATGAGGCTGTATCAGTGTCAGTGTAAATGATAACATTCAGTTCCAATTACAGTGGGACCCAGGGGCAATAAATGGAAAGAAAATCCACAGCTATTTAGAAACACATTACTTTAAAAAAAAAAAAAAAACAACTCCAAAAACAAGCAAATAATTCAAATTTTCATTACTATCAACAACAGAAATCTTACCTGAACATTTGGCCTGTTTCTTTTGGTTGCACCCTCAAATGCTAAGTATGACAAAGATGCTTGCTCACTTCCACCAACATCTACCTTGAAGATGTCGCCTGCCTTGGCAGTCACTATGCCTATTATAGGATCTCCCTTCACTGGGACATACTGTGAATGAAAACAAGCTTTAGGATAAGAGATCATATGTGCATACAAAGGAAATTAACACACTTTACATACGTTTGCACCAGAAGAAAGATCTTGTACAAGAAAAATAAATCATCTAGCATGCCTTCTTTTTCTTCAAAGAATCATAGGAAATTAGGGTTGGAAGGGGCCCTCAGGGTGTCATCTAATGTAACCCCCTGCTCAAAGCAGGACCATCCCCAACTACATCATCTTGGCCAAGCCTTTATCTAGCCAGGTCTTAAAAACCTCCACGGACAGAGATTCCACAACTTCCCTAGGTTGCCTGTTCCAGTGCTTTGTTACTCTCCTCATAAGAAAGTTTTTTATCTAACCTCAACTTCCCTTGCTGCAACTTGAGACCATTGCTCCCTGTTCTGTCATCTGCTACCACTGAGGGGTCAGCAGCCACAGTGTGCCAGGCTGATACCTAACCTACCCTAGCCCACTCTGCTGTGAGCAGTGCAGAGAGCTGGGGGCCAAAGCAGCCTAGGAAGCCCTTGGGTGCAGCTGCCAGTGAGGGGCTGTAGCCACTAGCACACAGCTTCCCAGGGCCAGCTGCAGCAGCGCAGGGAGGGAGAGGCAGGCAGCGTCGGCCATGGTCCCTCGAAGTCAAGGACGACGTCTGTCAGGCTTGATGGGTCCTCAGGTGACTGAGGAGTCCAATTTTGGATGCACACATTCGTCACCAATGGGGGCATGTCGTTGTGCAGGAGAGTGGGATTCACAGCCCCGGGTTGATCTCCTTCTCCTTCCTCCACTGCCGCTATTGAGTTGTTGGGCCCCGAAGTGGTGAGCAACTTGGTGGACCAGATAGCGCCACGCCGAATGGTTAGCAGCTTGCTCCTCCCAGCTGTTGGTGCCAATGCCTTTGTGCTTGAGGGCAACCTTGACTGCATCTTTGTACAGTTTCCTTTGGCCACCCTTTGAGTGTTGGCCAACAGAGAGCTGAGAGAAGAGAATATGGCAGAGGCGGCAGTTCTTGGACATCCAGATGCAGCGGCCCGTCCATCGGAGTTGATTTCTCAAGAGCAAGACTTTGATGCTGATGGACGCAGCTTCATAGAGGACACTCACACTGGTCTGGTGGTCCTCCCATCTAATCCCCAGGGTTCAATGCTAGCATCGCTGGGGGCCAAAGCAGCCCAGGAAGCCCTGGGGCACAGCAGCCATTGAGACCATTGCGAGGCTGTAGCCACCAGCGCGCAACTTCCCAGGGCCAGCTGCAGTAGCGCAGGGGGGAGGGGAGAGGCAAGCAGTACCCAGAACCAGGCCTTACCAGCTCATTCCAGCATCTGGCTCAGTGCCAGGGAGGAAGCAGGCAACCCCTCCCCTCTCCTTGCAGGTTGTTATAACTCTATTAGGTGTTATAATATCCAACAGCTCCCCTCTGCATCCCCTCCCCTTGCCTTCTGCCTGGCATTGCCAGGTCTTAAATATGAAATTATCATATTGGAAGCTCAAAATTACCATATTTGCTAAAAAAACTATCATACACTGAAAACATATGAAAATGCTTTCTTATTATTAACTTTATAGTACTCACTGTAAACTACCAGTGAGTGAGAGAGAACTGGGTCAAAGTTTTACTGTGAAGGAAGTAGACATAAAAAAGTGCTGAAGTCCACAAGTCAGCGAAAAGTCCAAGAGGGTGAGCTGGGTTTTGCATATGCTGCATCAATTAGCTGCCTCAAAAGTTATCCTGTTTTGAATGCTTTTACTGTTATTAATTGTACATCCTACAAAGGTTGAAACTGTACGATAATTATCGTATTTGTACAACATCTGGGTGCTCCTGCCCTACCGCCCTCCTTTTCCTGCTGGGCCACCGCAGGGCTCCCCCCGCTAAACACTACCCGAGAGCTAGATGAGGTTGTCACGGAGCTGAGGGGGCAAATGAATCGTGTAACTGTTCACATCCTTAGCGCTGGCGGCCGCAACCCCCAGCCTGGAGCCCGGCGGGACTGTACAACTCCCGTGAAGGACCCCGGGGCTCCCCCGGCCCTCCGCGCCCGCGACCCCAGCGCAGCCGCCCGGACCGGCCCCAGGCTGCAGCAGCGAGGAGACTCCGCCCGGGCTAGCCCCGCCCCTCCCATTGGTGGCAGACGGGGCCCGAGGGGCACGCGGCCCAATGGGCGGCAGACGCTCCGCTCCCCGCCCCGCACTCCTTACCCGCTTCTGCTGCGAATCCACCCAGTAGGCGCCGCCGCCTGTTGCGACCCCTGCCGGCAGGCGGTGGCGCAGCAGCCCGCACTTGGTGACTAGCAGCCCCGCGGCGCAGCGGCGCAGCCCGGGCCCGCACAGAAGCCTGCCCCGTGGCGCCGAGCTCGGGCCCAGCTGCAGCCGCTCGCCATCTGCATCCGGAGCCTTGGGAAGGAGCAGCACATCCCCCGGCAGTACCACCTGACCCACGGCTACCTCGGCCAGCAGACTACCCGCCGCCATATTGCCGAGGATCACGCATGCGCAGACTAGAGCACGGAGAGGAGGGGCCGTCCCCATGTGTTTGTGCGCGCGCAAAGGCGCTGTGGGGCACTGGCCTTGTTCGGCCTTCCGGGGTTTGCAGCTGCTGCGGGCGGGGTGGGGCCGGGCGCGCCTCCAGCGTAGCGTCGCTCCGCCTGGCGTTTAGCGCTGGGCGGATCCAATTGGTCTGTGAGGCAGTGGCGACATCATCCGGCCGCCAGCGAGAGGGGAAGCTGGCCTGGCTCTGGCTGACCTTCGGCAAACACAAACCCGCTGATCTTAGTCTGACGCCCCCGAACCTGCCGGCCTGTTTCCCGTGTGAACGTAGCCCCGGGCGCCGCAGCGTCTGCAGCGATTCAGAGCCCCGGAGAGTGGGTGCAGGCACCTGGACGACTCACCCACTGCCACCGACCTGCCTGGAGAAATCTTCCACTGGCATCTTGCCTCCGGCTGCTCCAGAGCAGAGGAAATCCCGCTGCTGGGCGGGAAAACCATTAGACTAGAGGTTCTCCACCTGTTTTATATCGGGACCCATTTGCAAAGATCATGGCTTGTCTGGACACCCCACCCGGAGAGTGCCCAAGCGCTGGCCCTCCAACCCCTGCTCCCTTACCTTCATCCAGCTGCTAGACCTGCTGCAGGACCCTGCCTGGCTTCCTGCTGGCCAGGCCCCAAACAGCCCTGCAACAGGAAACCTGCACTTTTGCATGTTTTTCTGCCATTTGCTCACAACCCTTTGAAATATTCTTGCAACTCATGTTTGCTTCACAACCCACAGGTTGAGAAATGCTGTGTTAGACAGCAAGGGAAAGTCTCCAGCTAGGCCTGTTCAGTTCAGAAAAGAGGTGCTTGAGGGGAGATGTGGTTAGGGTTTACCAAATACTAAACGGCAAAGAGAAAGTAAACGGGACTTTATTAGTTACAATAGCACACAAGATGAGCTAGGGAGTCATGAAATAAGACCAGTTGGTAGTAAGTTAGAAACTAACAGAAGGAGGGTCTTTCACAGTGCTTCCTTGAAGTGTGGAGCTTGTGGCCACCAGATGTGGAAGCTGGCAGTTTAGCCAGCTTAAAGAAGGGATTGGACAAATTACTGGACTAAATGAATATCAATAGCTTTTGAGCATGGGCATGAGGGATCCAGCCTCTGAATCAGAACTGCCAAGCCTAGGGGTGGGCAATTATTTCGGCTGGAGGGCCGCTTAATGAGTTTTGGTGAGCTGTTGAGAACCAAAAAGGTAGCCCTGTCACCTGGCCGCCATCTTGGCAGCAGAATTCCTGCCTAACTCCTGACCTAACCCCTAGCCCCTGACCTTTGCCACCAGAAGTACTCCTTTTGAGAGTAGGGGGGTTGCCTTCTTGGAACCAGGAAAAAACTGCAAATCATATACTAAAAGTCAAACGCCTACTATAACATATTCTGATTTTATTACAAAAAATATTTTTGTCACAATTTGTCTTTGTGTAGTGTATATAGAGATGATTGCATAATAACTCAAAAATAAAGTCACTCTTGTATATTGTGTGTGGGGCGTGGTTGGGAGTGGGTGTGTATGGTGGGAGGGTGTATGTGGGGTGTGTGAAGGTGTGGCTGTGTGGGGGGCATAGGGTATGCTGCTGGGGTGTGTGCATGTGGAGGGGTTGTGGGGGCAGGGTATGGGTGTGTGGAGTTTAGGGGTGTAAGGGAGGATGGCGGGGTGTGGGGAGCCCTCCACGTACTCCCTGCCACCCCAGTGCACAGCCCCTGCCGTGGGTGGCAGCAGCAGGTGGCAGGCCCTCGGGGAGCCTGCAGGTTGTATTTTGCCTGCCCCTGGCCTAAACGTTATGCTGGAGGCTGCAAGTGAGAAAGGAACAGTGGAAAAAACCCTGATCACTCCCAGTTCACTCCCACTTCAGCATCCACGCTCTGCCACTGTGTGACACAAGGCACTGACAGAAGTGATGTTTTGTTGTGTGATCAGCCCCCTGACAGCACTCTATGTCCGTTGCCTGCCAGAAGTGCACAGTTGCAGAGTGCTTTAAAAGTGCCCAGTTGCATGACAAATTAACTTTCATTACATGAGGGTTCACATGAAGGTGCTTCGAAGTGGAGCACCTTCATTAACTTCCATCAGCCCCTACCCCAGAGGAGGGCTGCCCTCAATCAGAGGCAAATTAAGGATTTTGGGGGCCCTGGGCAAGAAGAAAATTGGAGGTCCCCTCCCCCTGCGGGAGCTCTCCAGGTTGGCCCAGCCCCTCCCTGAAGCGCTGGACACAGGTATGCAGGCAGGCATACACACACACGGACACACACACAGGCAGACCCACGGACACACACATACACAGACAAACACAGAGACAGACACGCACACAAATACACAGATACACATGCAGACTGACAGGCACACAAGCACATGCACACCCAGGGGCACACTTT